TCGACACATAGGCATATCCTGACTTGCCAGCAGCCTGATGCGGATACAGTTGAAAAGAAAGCAGTCCCGTAAAACATACAGGGACCCAGTCCGCCTCGATGGTTATCTCAATGAGCAATTCAGTATTTCAAAATTTGTACGTGGGTTCAAACCCCAATCCGACCACTGCAACCGAACTTTGAATACTTACTAATATATATATATATATAGTGTGTGTGTGTGTGGGTGCGGGTGCGGGCGGGCGGGCGGGCGAGCGGGGGTGGGTGGCCGGGCGTGGGTTTGGGTGGGGGCTGTCTTTTCTTTTTCGTTTCCACCGCGCAAAAAAGACAAAAAAAAATAAAGAAAGGAAAAAAAAACGACGCGGAAAAGCGAGCAAAAAAAAAAAGAAAACAAAACAAAAAGAAATTAAAAAAGAAAAAAAAACGACGCGGAAAAGCAGGAAAAAAAAAAAAAAGAAAAAAAAAAAGAAATGAAAAAAGGAAAAGAAAAGCAAGCAAAAAGGAAAAGAAAACGACGCCGCGAGCGACCGAAAAACAAAAGAGAAAAGGAAAAAAAAAGAGAAACGGCGCGACAAACGCACAAAAAAAAACAGGCTAAACAAAAAGAAAAAAGGAAAACAAAAGCAAGCGAAACAAAAAGAAAAGAATAGCAATTGAAAAACAAAAGGAAAAAGGAAAACTCTATCCAACTGCGGGCGCTCCGAGATATTCCCTCCTATCGATGCCGGCCGCCGCATGGCCCTGTGGGCGCGCTCTTTCGATCTCTGGCGCGCTGTGAACAATTTGGTACGCGCACCGCTCTGCACACCGCCACGCCCTCGATCGCCCTTATCCACCGGGCCGAATCAAAAGTTCGGCCCGATTCTGGCACGCAGCGAAACACGACCTCCTCCCGCGGGCCCACCGTGCTTAAGGGGTAGGATAATTATACAGAATAAATATGTATAATATAGAATAATGAGAAATCTGCAACATAAATTTTGATATAAATCGGTTTTCTTTTCCACAGGTGTCACAATTTATATTGGGAACGTAAACATTTCCTGTTTTTTTTCCCTCGTGGTTAGGATTCGATTTCTCGGTTGGGTTTGTGATGTCAACAACGGCTACACACAACTATGAGCGCATGGGAGGGAGGAGGGGTTGGTTGCGGCTAGTCCAACGCTTCTGTGAGCGAGCACAAACCCGTTTTGCAACTCTATGGACACGGCGTGAGTGGTAGTAAGGCAAGGGGAAGGTGGGCACGGTGTATCCAAGTAGTGAGTATATCGAAAGCAAGGAGTGAAGGGGGAGGGAGTAAGGTCGAGCGGCTGATGGCTGTGATAGGAGGGAAGGAGGATTTGATGGGTAGAACGGGGGGGTGGGATGGGGAACTGGGAACGGGGGGTGTTGGCCATGGATGGTTGGTGGGTAACTAAGTAGGATGCAGTGGCCACGACATGAGGAGGGGAATTCGGCAGGGCCGATGAGCAGCGGTCAGGAGGGTGTGTTCGACTCGCGAGGAATAGGGGTTACGGATCGAATGGGGAGGATGTGGTCGGCACATGCAATGGCGCAGTTATGCCATGTGCTAGTAGCTTTAGGTGCACGTGATTGTCCGACATGAAAGTATCATGCCGTTGTGATGGCAGTTTCGTTTCCCCTAGCGCTCCAGGAGGAGTTACGAAGACGGGGAGAAGAAGTCGAACAATGCGACGATGAGAGTTCAGTGAAAGCAATGAATGAGAGGTTGGTGATGAAACGAATGACATTGTATATGAAGGTGGGAGCACGATTGCTGTTCATTCATTCATCTGAAGATTGGCTTCTTATGCTCATAAGCATAGGTGAGTTTAACATGTTGTTCTCCTCTGCTTCTCTGCTTACGGTTTACCGGACAGCACTGTTTGACGATATATATTATATAGAGATCTAGGGTTTTGCCTCCTGATGAGTCGCTGCAATGTCGACGAAACAGTTTGTCACAACGGCTCGTTTGTTGTCCTCTTGGTGAGTCATATCTGCATTAGCAAATGAGGGTGTATGGAGTGACGTGGCAACTCTTCCCTTTCCATTGTCTATCCTGGGGCTTTTGTCACTACCTTCTCCTGCTCCACACCTACACCACCACCTCCTCTTCGTCCTCCTCCAACGTCCCACCTCGTCACCCACCACGTCTGCGTCGTCCACGTGGCATCACCTCGGCTACACGCACCATGTTCGCCATATGCCCTACTTCCGCGTAATAATCACTATTCCCGCCTGCTTGTCGTCGCCCATGCCTATTCTGTTTTCGCTGATGTTCGTGCGTCGATGTCTAACCGTTGTGTGTGTGTATGTGTGTGTGTGTGTGTGTGTGTGTGTGCGTCTGTGCGTGTGTGCGTGTGTCTGTTCATGGGTTAGTGTGACTAATCGTACGTGGATGTCTTCGAAGATGATGGGCTATGGTTGTGATGACGTCTTCGTTATTGGAAGGAAGGATTGGGAGAAGATGGTGGTGAGGGAGGGGAGGGGGGCTGGGGGTAGAGTTGGGAAGCCGGAGGGACGGACCGGGAAAGGGTGGGCGCCCTCATCGTCTTGGTGTAAGTACTGAGTGGGTTGGAGATGCGCTGCACTTTCTTCATTGTTGTACGCATTCATTATCCCGAGCGCCCATGGATGTCGAAACCGCACCGGAGCTGATGTGCAGTGGTGGGTGTGTCATCGTGGCAGACTGTCAGTCAAACTACGCGCTCGCTCTGCCCGCAGGACAACTCTGGGGCCATGGGGGGGGGACCACTAGGGGAAAAACGGCGGAGGAAGTTGATGATAGGATGCCTTAGTGTTCGCGCGAAAGAAGAGGAAAGAGAAAGTGGATCATTGCCGGTGAATAGTATAGTGAGCAGGAGGGAAGACCGACCACAGTGTGGCAGGAAGAACGACTATGGAATGGCACTTGCGCATGGGCGGGGTCGTTTGATTGGTAAATTGGTTGATGGGTTGATGTGCGCGATTAACTAGGTTAGAGAGTATTGTTTGATGATGGCGTAAAGGAGTAGAAAGGGTAAGAACGCTCGCACACTTTTCGATAGAGACATCATTGGCTTGAACTGCTTTTGTACGACGGGAGGGAGACGTGGACAAAGCAGTGAAGGAACAGGGAGAAAAGAGAATTCATGGCCGTTGTGAGCTGTTGTGAAAGCACTTCGACGAAGATGAGATGACATAATTGCGGCAAAGAATAACTGGGGACGGGTGATTCTGCTTCTTACAGAACGTTGTGTCAGTCGTAAAAACGGGCGATGATCAAGGTTACCGAGCAGCTGAGTGGGGGTGTGTATTATTATTATTATTGTTATTGTTATTGTTATTATTGTTATTGAATCATATTAATTAATCTTCATTCGGTCAAACATAGCAGCCGGCAGCAGGTGGTCGCCTCCTACCTTGCAGTGGGGTGGGGGGCGTTTGACTCTGCGCCTGAGAACAAGGAATGAGGAATTAACTTGTCCGTTTGATCTCCCGCTGCTCTTTTTCTCATTTCTGGCCTCTCTATCTATTTTATCCCTTCTTCTCCTCTCTTTACTCTTCGTCTCTTTTCTTCTCTCTTCTCGTTTCTCTCTCGTCTTGTCTCCGCTTGTGTCCTTTCTGTCGATGTACCCCCAATTTTCAGCTTTCGAGCGGTGGAGGTAGTTTCTTGTTCCTATTCTGCATAAGCCGCAGACTACCTTTTGGTCGGTGGATGGGACAGAGTGTTTGCTTCTGTCGAACTAAGGAGATTCCACATATATACATATGTATATATCTTGATGACATTATATATATATATATATATATATCGTGTATGACGATGCATATATTTGTGTATACGTATATATCTACGGTTTATTGGGCAGTTCTGTTTGACGATATATATATATATATATAGTGAGGGGATTCTGCAGACTGTTGAGGGTTCAGCCTCCTGATGAGTCGGTGAAACTCCGACGAAACAGTTTGTCACNACTCCGACGAAACAGTTTGTCACAGCCCCTCGTTTGTTGTCCTCTTCTCTCTCTCTGCCTACGGTTTACCGGGCAGTTCTGTTTGTGACGATATATATATATATATATCGTCACAAACAGAACTGCCCGGTAAATATATATATATATATATTCTGCGCACACAGGTTAGCAGTTAATCACATCAGCTGGGCGTTTCATCTCATCACTAAATGGCCTCTGACCGGCTGGTGGGCAGGTTTGCAGGAGGACCGGGGAGGGTAAGCGGTCGAGGAGGGGCAAGGGGAGGAGGAGCAGAAATAGAGAAGGCGAAAGTCTGAATTTCCGATTTCTTTTATTCTTTGTTTGATTTTTTAAGTTCCCCCGAAACCTCCAGCCTCCGTCGCAACTGCTCTTCCCGTGCGGAAATCCTCTCCTCCTATCTATTGTAGGATGCCCTCCCAACGAGAGAAGATGATGGTTATAATAGAGGGACGTGTATTTCGCGTTTGAGAGCAGTTTGTGTTAGTCTGATCGAGTTGCACAGCGCAGCCCCCACGAGACGAAAACTGCTCTGTCGTCACATTCACACTCTTATGGTCCTCTCTTTTATTCCTGTGGGCTCGCATACCTTCCCTACCTCGCATTGAAAGAGTTCTGAATCTCTCCCCATTTCCGCTCTCATTCCTGGCTCACCTAGCATTCGCTCTTTCCCTAGAGCATAGGCCTTGTGCACCTATGGGCTGGGCTGCCAACTTTCTGCGCACATATTCTCTTACCTCAATGAAAAGAAAAAAGAAAAATCCATTGTCGTGTGTTGTCTACTTCTCGTTCTGCTCTCCCTTGTCGTGTCTGTTTCACCAGTACGACTTGGATCATCCATCGTTTGCTTGTGTCGACGTCTTATCAGTGCTAACTCCTATTTCCCCCTCTCCGTTCCTATGCCCTCTCACTCAATTTCGCTTTCTCTATGTATTCCTACGCCTTCCCTACACCTCCCTTCTTCCCTGGTGATTGTTTGCTTTGTCTCTTCCTTCTGCTGTCCTCTGCTCCCGCTGCTCGCTGTCCTCTCTTCCATTGTTTTGCAGAATCGGTCTTTTGCTCTTCTCCCTTTGCTGCATACACCTACCCTCGCACTCTTCAGGTATGTTTCAACAGATATTTCTTCTTCAATTCTCTCTCCCCACAGCTCTCTCCGCCCCTTTCCCCTCCCCCCCCCCCCCCCCCCCCCCCCCCCCCCCCCCCAAAGGGCCTTTTTTTCCACGTAGGAACTGGAATGTTCCTCCTCCTTCACTTGTCTATCTTTCCCTCGTTACCTTATTGGTTCGCTGCCTGGTGTTCAGTTCTTTCACTTCGATTTTCTCGGGCATTCGGCTGGTTTTTTTTTTTTTTTTTTTAAGCAGTTGCGGATGACAGACATTAATCAAGGAGGTCTCGCTTGATCGGTGGATTGTCATCTCGCTGCCAGTGTCATCTTTTAGAGAACGGGCTTCGAACTCGTGACCTATGGAGAAAAGAATGAAGGGAAAAAAAAATCCTTCGTTTACTGACGCTTGAGTAAATGTGTGGACCGTTCAGCCACGTCGGTCGGGTTGCAGCCCGTATGTTTTGTTTCCGAAATCTTTTTTTTGTTTTTTTTCCCCATAACATGTTATTCGTTAAAATAGGACATTATATTCTAAATTGGTATTCGCAAGCTATTACTTTCATGTTTAAATCTCTATGTTTTGGACCTGAATCGAACTTAGGATACGAGTAGTGAACCCAAAGAATTCAATTGACAGGCAATAAATTGAATCTAAACTGGAGATTCAAGGCAATAACTTACTGATCATAATGAATTAAGTGTGGATTTCATTGCACTTCCATAAATTTTGTAACTTAGTCTAAGTCTTAAAAGTCGTTACGGTAATAACATGAATTGTTGAACTCTCGATTTTATCACACCTTGTTCAATTTTGTGAGAACATTGAGTCGGACCTATTTTAGATGACATTGTGACTTGCCTTAACTTTAAGGCAATCACACGGATGATTTAAGTACTATGCTTCCGTCGCACTTCGATAATTTATGCTTTCGGATGGTTTAAGTACTACGGATTCCGTCGCACTTCGATAATTTATGCTTTAAATTTATGTACTAAGTTAAACTTAAAAAACGTAAAATTTAATGTTGTGACTTGCATAAATTGTAACTCAATCGAAGAGTAAAGTTTAAGGCTAAAGCCTTAAGCAATCACACGACAAACGAGATCATGTTTTAAGGCTAAAGCCTTAGGCAATCACACGACAAACGAGATCATGGTTTACGTACTATGGATTCCATCGCACTTTGACAATTTATGTACATACTTATTAAAAGACTTGTTCGGTGTGATTTGCATAAATTGAAACTCAATCGAAGAGTAAAGGCCATTATTAGATGGTAAACGAGATGGTTTAAGGATGGATTCCAACACACTTCAATAATTTTGGACTCCATCACACTCCGACAATTTATGTTACTTAAAAGACGTAACTGGCATGTCATTGTCATACATTGAAATTCACTTAGCATACGTAATGAGACACTAAAATACAGGGTTGTGAATGACCTTAGAGTCTGCATCACACTGACTATCACTGAGCCTTGAGTCAGACGTGCTACAAATGACATTGTGTGAAGCAGAAACTAGAAATCGATCGATGAGTCAATACAATCACACGGTAAACAAGATGGTTTATGTATGGATTCCGGCGCGCTTCGACAAATAATCATAAACTGATATAACATTGTCATATCAAACTGAAATTCACGTGAATACCATGGATTCCGTCCCACTTGAAGAAACATTGTAATCATGAAAAATTAAAAGTTCGAAATTGTATCGACAATTAAAAGTTGAAAATTATATCGACACGTGCAAGAAATCGCAAATGCAAGATTGAAGTACGCCTAAATTAAACGCTACAAGCCAACTGTAGTCTAAACTGAATGCTACGAGCCGCAATAATCCAAACTTTCTAAAACGCTATTATTTACAAAAATTAAAGTATCTACCGACGTCCACGCGTCCCATGAGAACCAACCCATATAAGGCATTCATTGACGACCCGAAAGCAAGGGTTTGTGGTTATCCCTTCGTCGCCACCCTCGAGAACACCGAAATGTACTTCATCCTTACAAACCTACAAGCACCTGCCAAGGACTTACCGATGGCGTCACACACACAACATGTCACTTGCTCTACCGCATGCCACTTATGAACCTCATTAATTTGACCAGCAATCTCCAAATCGGATTGTCCATTTTCGTACAGAAGGCGCAAATTCCCCATGTTGCGACCATTGATTCTAAGCTGGTTGCAAGAAACTAGCACTACAACGTCTACCAAAGTCCGCTTTCGGTTTTAACATGCCACACACAACACTCTGTAGAAGTCAGAACCGACCACAGACAACCGTATGCAACAATACGACAAATATTTTGGACGTATTCAGACACCACGCAGCGGGTATACTTCCAAAAACGGATTGCAGGACGCACAGTCCAACAACTCTTGTTTAGATTCCGCAGACCACACCCGAGGTGACCTCGTGACGTTGTCCAGGCGAAGGTAAAACCGGTTATTCTCTTCCTGCCTGAGCATGACGCGCAGGGACGGAAGTTGCCTGACACCAATGACATAATGAGGCACTTTCATCAGGCTTCCCCACTCCATCGCGGAAGCGAACTTGTACTCTTTATGCCATGGACATTTCCTTGCCAAGATTGCTCTATCCCATTCTGCCTAGGACCACTCATCGAGAGGCTTGTCCAAGAAGGGGACGACTCTCATCCACGGGTCGTTTTCGAACTCTGTTGTCATCGACTCGACAATTTCAGTATCGCCTTCCGAACCACGAAATCCGCATGCACAAGGGTGAATAAGACATGCATAATCATGTCGATGGTCCATGACTTCTGTCGCACTCCCTACACAAGACATGAAATGCAAACACAAATGAAAATGAAATGTGGAAATAGTAGAGAAATCGCCTTCATGATGAACTTAACTTCGGAAATTGCCGAACCATCACCAACCATCTTTAAAAATTCAACCGTGGACCGAGGACAAAATTTCGCCACGCAGAATCATCGCAAAAATAATATACTACCTTCTGAATTCTCGTTTGTCCAAACAGTTTTTTTCAAAAATCTCACTCCCTCACTTTATTCGGCGAACGTGCACTCGTCGCTCTTGTCCCCTCCATCTGCACTCCCTTCACCAGAAGGACTCAGATCTAGAAGTGCAGCTTCAGCATTCAGTCGAACACTGGAAGGAATGACAAGTCCAGTCGTGAATGATCTTGTACCTCGGACCGGTCTCTCCCAACCAAAAACGATTGAGTCAGCATCCTGCCATTGTGTTTGCTCAGTCATTTTCCATCGTTTTTCCCATGCAGTCTCATACAGTTGTTCGAGCGACTTAGCTCTAGCAGTCGGCACCCAATATTCCACTAGCACTTGATTATAATTCTGCGAATTATAATCAACAACCACCTGAGAAAGAGCTTTGCCCACCCAGATTGGCACACCGCTGGACAGATCATCGTCGGAGGGGCGAAGGATAAGAAAAGTGCCCACATCAACATGCACGAGGGGGTCGAAACTAGTCTTCGGACGATTTTTTCTTCGTCCAACAAATAGGGGTTCCCTGTCGTCGATGTTGACACTGCGAGGAGAAGGTTATTGATCGCTTTCAAGCAGTCATGGTCGTGGCCAAAAACTTTCCTGAGGTTGTGAGGACAACCCGTTGGCGATGATCTCCTCCCCATGTTTGATAACCTTCTCCCAGTAACACAAAGCTCTTTCTCTCCTACTCACCTCATGGTCATTGTAAGTGCACCACGCTGACCGCCTACTCTCCAGCAACTCGCGGAATCGAACAACACCATTTTTGTCATGCAAATAGTCATTTCGAGGAAGCGGTCGCACATGAGGCGGGTCAAACGGCCATGAAGGACCTGCATAGCTTTCATCGGGGTTCTGATTGAACTAAAAAATCGGGCCTTCCTCGAGCAACCATATGTCGTCATCACAATACTCCTTGTACAACATTAGCAAGTCAAGGAAAGATCTGACAACCCCCCTTGAGATACAGAAAGCTCCTGCAAATCTTTAGAAGTGTCGAGGGCTTGTCTCTAACTAATAAGGTGAGTCAGCAATAAGATAAAAGTTAATCAATCACCGTCAAGCAAAAACTTGACGAGAATATAAGAGATCTTTCTCAGCCCTAACTTCCCTTTTCCCATTCATTCAAAGGAAGTAACACTATGGAAAAACATAATCTAAGAATCACCCCCTCATTTCCATTTGCAGAGTGAGCCCATCCAACGAGCCTGGAAATAAGCCTAAACTTATGCGATAAAAAGCCCGCCCATGGCCAACAAGCTCGCAAGTACATTCAATTGGATACCCATCCACATACACACACACAGACTTTTGTGGACTTGTATAGTCATACACTCGATTTGTCTCAGGACACAAACGAACTCATACCACCATTTGGCAACCATTCAATCAGGTGAGTACGCAAGGCGAACACATACCCTTGGCCCCCACACACCCACGCAGTCACCCGATGCAGTCACATGGTGCAGTCACGTCGAGCGCCCACACCGTCGCACAGTGTGCCCGTACAATGCGTCAATCCGATGCAGCCACGCTATGCGGTCATGCGCGGTGAGATCACACAGCGTAATTACGCGGGGCAATGAACATTTTGTAGTCTCACACTGACAAAAAAATAGAAGAAAAAGCCAGGGCTCCAATTATATTTGTAATCTCTGTCTTTGAAGGGTTTATGCACACAGATACACTGGTTGCACCATCCTCCCCCGTCTCTCTTTGATCTTGTCGGCCACCCAATACAAGGGGACACATATAATAGACGAATGCCAATGACAAGACTATCCAGCAACTCCAACCCTGTTAATTCTCTTAATTTGTGGTCTATATGTTGTATCCCTCCTGCGGCTTGAAATTTTCAGATTGTCATTATGAGACAGGGGTCTTCCCCTGTTCACCCGGTCATGCAGTCTACTGCCTCCCTAACCTTTGCCTAGTTGTAAGATGATCGGTTATCAATGATCAATCGTCCCAATCAATTAAATAACAGGAGAAGGAAAAAAATTGATGATAATAGAACAGAAGAAATTATCTTGTAATGTCGCCCGCTTTTTCTAAGGGTTTGGCCAGGACCTTCGCAAGGAAGAGTGTCAATGACTTTGGTAGCAGTACCCGTCGCAGATCAGAAGTCACTCGACGGCAGCAAGACAGGTAATCATCAGCGCAGGCGCATCAACAAGTAAGTGAAAAACGCTCTCAAAGGAGTGAGACCCTCACAACGGCTAGTTCTTGACCGAACGGCGCACGCATACTTCGACTTGTATATTGATGACACCAACAAGATAACCTGCGCCGAACTCTCTACTTCCTCCACCCTTCCTCTCACTCTTCTCTCTCGTTTGCCGACCACCAGCAGAAGCATGCCGAAGCACCTTCTGGCTGAGATCGAGCAGTGAGGCGTCCACTAGACGGGGTTCGTGAAAAACTAGCTGCGTCCCTCACACAAAAAAAAAACTTATTCATACCTGCTTCTTTCACATGCTTACATCGTAGCTTCTCGGCGAGCGAACCGAAAGTGCTTTAAGACTGATTACTCAGGAGAGGCGTGCGAGATAAAACAGAGACGAGTCACTTTTGGCGAATACTCAAGGTGTCACGGAGGCTGGTTGCTCTGGCGTGTCACAGAGGCTCGTCGTGGCTTATCAGTCTCGAAGTACTCTGAGCACGCGTAGAGGCAACGGTTGAAGTCAAAACAGACATTGCAGTCTGAGCACCTCCCTCACGCTCGTACGCACCGCCAGTTACAATCACTTCTCTGGCTCGTCGCATACGCTGCAGTTCAGCTGACATCACCATCTCAGCACGCTCGCTCAGTTCCCGCCTCTACCTCTTCTGTTGACCCTCCTTCTCTGTTGACTGACTTATCACGCGTTAGCCTTCTGCTTCATGCCTAGCAGCTTCCAACCCAGAATGACCCTCGCGAGCAGAGTTTCTCAAGAAAAACGATGCCTCGCACGATGACCGGATGAGTCTCGGGTGGCATTCCCTGTCGCTCCCTCATAGATGAGGGTGACATCAACAGGTAGTTCCTCTTCCTCGCACGCTGATCTCGCGTGTGCTCGTGCCCCTGGTCCTCGCCTTTGTTGTCGCTTGTGATACCTGCCCCTCTCTCATCTGCGCACTGACTCCCTCTTTTTCACGCGCGGTCGTGCCACGCGACTCTCTCCTCTTGTCTCCCAGAATAGCACGTGTTGACCCTCTCCGGCCACTGCCCTCTCACACGCGCCCTTTCCCCCTGTTTTGTCTCTCTCCCGTTCCGCGGCCTCTGGGCGCCAATTGACGAGAGCTGGCCTCGGGTCCTCCTTCCACTTGGTCTGCCGCCCGGTGATGCTTCTGGATCTCCCCTGGTCTATTCCAGGACCTCAGATCCGTCTCTCGATCTGCGTCGCTCATCTCACTTTCCCCCCTTGAGTCTCTATCCTGGTGGACCTGTTCCAGGTCCGTCGTGTCCATCGAGGTCTCAGTTTCGTGATAGGCCACCGTTATTTGAAGCCTTGTCGTCTCTCCGTCTCGTTTACAGCGTCTCTCCGCTCGGTCTCTCGCCTCAGAGATCGCATCCTGCAACTTCGAGTTAGTCTCCATCTCTCCTTCTCTTGCTCCCTCCACATTGATCTTCAGTACCAACTCATCTCCACCGTCATAGTTGGGTATGACGGTAATCCAGGGCCCTTCCCAGGACATTGGCTTCCAACGGGCCTGGTGGTACCAGTACCCGGGCCTGTACCCATGCAGTGCCATAGTCAGACCAAGTACTATGACCTCCACGCAACACTAGGGCGTCCACACGGAATAGCACACCAACAGGCAATACACACGCAGGCCTGTAGCTTGCTATAGCCGCAACCACCTCCCAGCAAGCCTCAGTTTCCGGCACGCAGAGCACGCTGAGTGCGATCCTTTGTCCAGCACAGCACGTCCCCAGCTCTAAGGTTGTCCCAGCAGAGCGCTTCGATGAAACTCAAACCCCCAGAACAGCAACTGTGCCTGACATTCATGACGTGCCTAACACTCGACTCCATCACTTTTTTATAGGCTCGTTGCCCGCCAGGGTCTCTGTGCTCTAATCGGTAGGTCCTGCCTAGATCTTTTCCCGAAGAGTAAAGACAAATTCATAATTAAAAAGAAAATTAATTAATTCCCAAAGTTATTTCCAGTCTGGATCCTAACTGTCAGGCGGAGTTCCATTCCTGTACCGTCACCACTCCTCAAGCTTTCACAATTGCTGCCAAAGACTCAGACCGTTGGTCCCATAACGGGATACCGATTGGCGTTTTTTTCCCTTTAAAGCGTACAATTAGGACTACAGTATTCGGGTGCCTGCGTCCGATGGCAAGGAGGGGGCTTATGACCCTCCATGAGGGGGGTGATAAGCTTCCTACCGATGCGGCCGCGGGTCGCCCTTCTTTTGAGGCCCGACCACGCAACACTTAGTCGGCGCACATTCTCGGACGGAACAAGTGGAACCAGCCAATTCGGGCCACCGCTCCAAATTCAGAGTGTTGGCTTCCCTGTGAAGTGACAAGCTAAAAGGCAACCGAATCGGACAAACGAGCGAAAAGAAAACTAAGTAATAATAGAGGAAAGGAAAAGATGGCGTTTCGAAATTCCACCGCGCAGCAGCCTCGCCCGAACGGTAATACGAGTCCACACATAAATCTAAAGCCCGACTTCCAATTTTTTCCATCCCTTTCTCCCTTTCCTTATTTTTGTCTTTTCAGTCCTCTCCGTATCTGCCCCCCCTTAACCTGGCCACCAGAGTCTCACCGCGAGGTTCAGACAAACAGTTTTGGTACAGGCGATATACAAAGGGTCAGTGAACCCCAGGCCATAAGACCGCGGTTACTGTCCGAAAACCTGAATCGGCGGCCCTTTCCCTACGAAGGGTCAGATCGACAGATGGAAAACCGAAAATAGGGAAATTAAGGAATAATAACAATAATAATAATATTAATAATGATGACGGCAATCCAAAATTGGAAAGGAAACTATAGCATCACAGCAACCTGAGGTCATCAGATTTCTCCACACAAGAGAAACGAGTTTAAATTTGTCGCTTTATTCTTCTTTTTCTCTTTTCCTTCCCCGACAGCGACTTCTACCCCTTGCACCTAACCCATAACTTGGCAACAGAGCACTCGGCGCGCAGTAGAAAAGATTGCGCCAACCCATTCACCTTTGCGTCCCAGGGCAGACCCGGCGGCTACCACAGTTACAGGCCGGTTGTGCTCTGCTGTACAGCAGGGCGCCGAGCCTGTGTGGACCAAAGTAAGGTCCTGTGGCGCACCCTTTTGCTGAGGCAGGTGCCAAGCAGGACCGGTCCACGTCATGGTGCAGCCCATGTACCAAGTGTCATAGTATTTTTGGGAGTAGTTACAGATCGCAACACTAAAGCTAAGGATGGTACCAAGTAGGGACTTGGTACACGAAGGAGGGCCGGGACACCGCGCCCTCCGACACCGCGTCTTGAAGAAGGTGCTCGCTTGCGAGGTGGTTTGGGTCCAGGCGGGCTCCCTGGCGTTGGCGAAGCTCGGAAAGCTGAGCGTCCAGGAGATGGTGCATTGGGTGAAATGCGACCGGGTGCTAGTGCGTCTGTGGAACTACTACCACTTCAAGCACGACAAGAGGCCGGACGCGGATTGGAGCGAGAGGTGCCCGTTCCTGAAATCAAGGTCCGCAATTTTCAGACAGTTTGAGAGTCGTGGTTTGGATGCTGAGTTGTGGGACGGAAGCAGGAAATACGTCATTGACTCCTCGTTGTTCAAGGACTGCCCGCCCTACATGGGCTGCGACGACGACAAATCGATCGAGGCGACAGAGAAGTCGGTCGGTCACAAGAAGCTATCCGTCGACTGGAGCAATAAGGTCCTGTCCGTGTTGACTGGCAGTAGACTGAAGAGTCACGAGATCGCGCTCGCTGAAGGTATTGTGCACATAAAATGGGAAGACACGGGCGACGTGACATCCATCGCGCCATTCGGCAACGACCCCTTGGACGCAGACATAAGAAGTGCGGAGGTGAAGGAGGCAGTGGCTGCCACAAAAAGTCACACGTTTGTCCTCGATCTATGCGAACCGGTGGACCTGAAGCTTTTTAAACCACAAACGTTCGACACTCTGGATTCCCAACTTCAGACGTGGTGTCCATCGCATTGGATGCTCGTCGTTTTCGTCCTGCGGGAGCAGAACCTCTCGTTTCTGGCTACCATGAACCATCTTTCTTTCGTGAAGCTGCTGGAAGGGAAGTGGGTGAGGAGGAGTCAACAGAAGAAAAGCTTCCCCGTCGGGAACAATTTGTACATGGGAGACGACCGGATGTACATACTCTTCAAAGGCGATGATTTGTGCGCTAACACGTCCACTGTCTACGAGGGGAAACTGTCGGCAGGCGCCGCTGCTGCAGTGCAGCTACCACAAAAGGTTACGCAAACGGATGTGTCCGACATCCCGTTCAACCCTTGCGACTGGTCGCATACCTCTCCTGCACGTCGGGGCAGTGTGTACGGGGACATGGAACGCAACCCCGCGCCATTCGTTAATCTTCTCGAATCCGTCACCAAGAAGGGGGAGGGTGTTGTCTTCCTCGGGAAGCCACACGCGCGATCTTTGTGGGAAGTACTGAAGGCAGGACGGCACGTCATCGCGATGGAAGGGAACTCCAAGCTCTTGCAATTTACAATTGATCTCGTCAAAAGTGAGGTCAATTCGGGTGCCCACAATTGTGAGTTCATGGTCGTCACCGAGACTCGGGCTCATGCGTGGAACAACAAGAAGGATATGTGGTTCAAGTTGAGTGCGAGGAAGCAGAACAAGATATACGACTTTTTGTTCCTGCAAACGCGGCCGAAGAAAGACACTGACGTCGAGTACTTGCGCCGCAAGGACCACATATTCACGTTGCTCGACAACTACCACGACGCCTCCCGCATGAACGCGAAGACCTTCCTCGAGAGGTTGCACTCCCTGTCCTTCGTGGAGTCAGAGGAGGAGTTGACGTTCGGCAGTTACTCCTCCTTGATCTCCACGGAAGACGAGGTGACCACCTGCATCGAGTTCGACGCGACCGCGGACGAGGAGGGCAGCGACACCGAAAGCCTCGACCTGCAGTACGACCCACATCCCGCGCAGCACACTACCGGGTCGTCCTTGGCAGGTCCGTCAACAAGCCCGGCATCCCTCGTGTCACCGATGGTGAACCCGGCGCCTGGCACTACCCCGATGAAGTTGCTGCAGAGACTGCAGGCTCTGGCCTCCGGCCATCGCTCACTGCGTCCCAGGTCTGACATCCTGCCCGATCATCTGTCTTGGAAGGATGCCAACATTCACTTCCTGCCTGAGCCTCAAAGTCGTTCCACGGAGGCGGACTGGGGCCATGACATGATTTGGCATCCAGGAGTCATCCAGCCGGCGATCCAAAAGGGTGAGTGGATCGTGGCCGTCGCTGTCCCGGACGGAGAATGGATGCCCCTCCCTCGTGGGTCGAAGTCTGACTTCGTCGACGTCGCTAGAATTGTGGTCCTCCAGAAAGTGAGGGCCGAGAATGACTCTTTTGTACCCGAAGACGTGTCCGTCATTTCCATAGCCGGGTGATTGATCGCCGAACTTGAGGACAAGTGCTGGTTGGAGCTGACGGAGGACTACTACGACCTCAATACGAGCCCCTCGAAGGGAAGGGTGGACTGGAAAATCCCCCCTCCCAGTGGGACGCATGTAAGAACATGGTCCCGGGGACCGGAAGGTGGGGAGAACGAGGGCGACAAGGCTGGGGATGGCAAAGGAGTCTCGCCTGGTTCGGAGGGCAGGTCTCACGGTGACACCACAACAGCGGAAGGCGGTGGCCGGGTGGCGGGGGAGGCCTTCGGGCGTCAGCAGTCTACTGGTCCTGGTTCGGAAGGCTCGGCACAGTCAGCGAACGTGCCCACTTCATCCGCCGGCTCGGTGATGGCGGCCTTGGTTGCTCTCCGTGCCGGCTCGGTCGAAACGTTCAAGTCCACCGGGATCCGAACTTCAATGCGTGCAGAGCGGACAAAGAGGACGGACGCGCAGAGCTGGTCAGGAGCGGGGGTGGCGAGTCGTGATCCCAAAATAGACAGCGGTGTGGTGAGGGATGGGAATGCGCCGCCTGCGGGCAGGGTTGTCACGCGGGGATCCCCGGGGCCCAAGCCGGGGTACGGGTTTC